GGAGCCTCAATATCACTGATCTTTCTTCATTGGGCATTGTTTTAGCTCAAGCATCCAAACTGTGGCCAAAATATCCCGAAAGTCTGATCTTAATGAGCGTAGAATCGAGTATCAACCAACTTTAGTCTTGCACCAAAGCCAACTATATCACTACTTTATGATGGCCAAGTTGTTCAACTAAGGTTCTATGGTCAGTTGAATGGTATCAAGGGACATCGATACCAACAAATGTGTCACATTAACGTATCCATCGCTTCAACCATGTCGGTATTCCCACGATCTATTGCTACTTACCCAAAATGCCCCAGATCTGGGTATATGATCTTTTCAAGAAATAAACTCAAACATAACCCACAAATGTAAAGCAAACAAATCAAGCAAGTAAAGAAATAAAGGTGATATAGCTCTTAAGGTAACCCCACTTTTAGTTTATAGTTCCCCAACATAGTCTCCAGTTATGTAATACGGTGGGAGAACTGACTTGGGTGTTTTGCATTTTATCGCAAGTGTTGCAGATAGCAAGAGTCGCCACCGACTTTTCTTTTATCCAATAAAGGAAAGGTTGAAAAGAATAGGAAAGGCCTTTTAAGAATTTTCTTGAGTTCGGGGGGTAGGTTATGAAAATGGAAGGTGTTAGCACCCTTTTCATCCGTAGTTATCTACGGGCTCTTAATTACTAGCTCATTTTGAAATGCTTTGTGTTTGTGTAAGTTTGAAAATATTTTGAAAACACCTTTGTACGACAAACTTTGCAATGATTATCGTATCGTTGGGAATGTATACAAAGTGCTGGTTTTGAAAATATTTGTTTTAAAAAAGAGTGTTTGAAAAGATGTTTGAAAATGCCAATGTAAGGCAATTTTGTAATGATTCTCGTATCGCTGAGAATGTATACAAAATGTTTGTTTTGAAAGACGTTTTGAAAGTGTGAAGTGTAAAGATTATTTTGGTTTGTGAGCAAGCGATTACGAGCAATCTACCTACTCAAAAAGTCTTTGTTCTTTTCCTCCTCCTTTAGATAGTGCTACTTTACCATTGGTTGGTAGAGAGCCATATCTTTGGATGTAAGGGACGGGTGTGAGTTATCGTACAGTCATAAAAGGCAACTTGTAAGATGCTTTAGCAATTTGTCGTAAGGGACTAAGATCGTTTACCGAAGGAAACATTAAAGGTTCATCGAGGGACTACGATCTTTCAACTGAGGGTCTTTTGCTAGAATATCTCACGTTCGAGGGACATGATTATATTTATCCTAGGCAACAAGTGTGGGTTACCCTAGAGGTGCAAGTGTGCAAAGTGTTTCGATTTAAAATATATTGTCTGTGAATTAGGGTTTTCTATGGTTTGATTTTAGTCTTGTCATGCAAACCCTAATTACTAACAATAATAAGGAAAGCGATAAATTACAGAATTTAAATATCCTACGCTATTACAACGCTTAGGGAGTGGGGGTACAATTTTGTGAATGAGGGGAAGAAAGCAATAAAGCCCTAATTATCTATTACAAACCATTGAATATGAATAATAATAGAATGTACAAAATATAAAGATGAATGAGAAATTATTTTTTTAGGGTTTTTGATAGAAAAAAGGTTTTAGTAATTTAATTAGACTAATTGATTTTATTTACAAAAGAAATTAATTGATTATCTTAAATAAAACCTAAAATCTAAGTTAATTAAATTTAAGAAGGAAATAAAACCTAAGTCTAAGTAATTTGTTTAGAAAATAATTTGAATGTTAATAATTTGTAAAAGAAAATAATGAAATTTAACTTAATAAAATAAAATATTCACATTAAAATATTTTTAATTTTAATTATTTAAGAAAATATATTTTTGGTTTTTTTGATTAAATAAATGAATAGATAAATAAAAATAATGAAAATATAAAAATAAATGGGTTGGGTGTTAAAAAGTAGAAGGGAGGTAAAAAAAGTAGCAAACAGGCGGCCCAATATGTTTTTTGTAATCAGAGAAAATAAAAAAAAGTATGAATGGGCATGCGTTTTGAAAAATAAAATGGGGGTATGAAGAAGAAAAAAAAAAGGCCCAGGTCAGGAGGCCCAAGCGCCTTGTTTGGATCCCATATGGCTGGCTTGTGAGAGCTCATGGTGGACAAGCGCATCTGATGTGTTAGATTTGTTGACATAGTGATCTGATGGTGTTGAAATGAGGGTGCATGGTGGACTCAAAGAAGCTAGGTGCGCCGGATCTGCAAGAAATATATGAAAAAAACATAAAAGGGTACCACTGGGGCTCGAACCCAAGTCCCTATAGATCAATGCCTTACGCGCGCTTCCTCTGTCATTGGGGTGGCTGTTACATCCGGTAGTAATACAACTTCCACTAAATATTAAATAAACCCAATCCTGAATATGACTTCATCCCTAACCTCGCGCCAACCTCCATTGTTACATTTTCAAATTTCTGAACTTGCTTATTTCTCAACCATTTTCAAAAGTGTAAACATGAAACTTGCTCCATTTTTCAACACGAATTCAACCATATAAATAACTAAAGATATAAATCAAAGATGGACATGAATTTTGTTTGGTACCAAATAAAACCTAATTTTTTCAAAAAGTTCAACTTCAAAATTCACATCACTCAGGCAACATAAATGAAAACTAAAGGCATGGTTAGCTTTAGGGCAATTATGTCTACATTTTTCATTTACAAAGTAGTCATTGAAAATGCTTGTAGAGAGAGTTCAAAGTTGAGAAAACTTACCTCAAAACTGGAAATCGTGTATAGAGTTTGAGCACTTCTGGAGGTGTTGTGATGATCTAGATAGTTTCACTGAACTCCTAGGAAGCTAATGCAACTCTTACTTTATGCTGAAAGTGCCTGAATCTGCTGGAGAAGTTAAGTTGCAGAGGTGCAAAGTGAGGTTTGGACAATGATGGAAATTGAGTTACAATTATGAAACAAGGGTGATGATGAGTTATAAATGAGGCATGGAAGCTTTGTGATTGATTTAGAGAAGAAACGCACGAGTGGATTGTGAGTTTGAAGTTTTTGGCCAGAAATGACAAACAATGGAGGTTTTGATGCAACTCTGAGTTTTAGGGAGTTTAAGGGGGTTAGAGGGATTTTCCAATCGTCCTTTAGCTTGCATATAACTTCTCTATTTATAGAGAAAATGTTTGGAAGCTTGAAACAATCATAATCAAGAGATCACATGTTATGGTCATGTGACTTGATTTTGAAGCAAGATTGAAACATCTTGTTCCAATGTATAGTACAAAGGCTCATAGGGTGGTTAACAGGTTGTAGATGGTTGCTTATTCACTTTATAATGGAGTGTGGTCAGAAGGAACAAGTGTAAGGCTCAAGAAGTTGACATTGTGATTAAAGTTGGCTTTTCTAAAATGGAAGTGTTACCTTTGTGCCAAAAATGAATTAATCACTTGGACAATGGCTCAAATGCTTTGATAAAGGATCAATCAGTTGTATAAACAATTAATTATGAAGTAATTTGCAAGTTAGAATCCTTCAAAGCAATATTTATGTAGCATGGCTTGATATTGGATCATGCATTCTTCATGAAAATGCCTTGTAATTCAAGAAAGGATGCTCAACTTCTTCTCTTTGATTCTCCTAGATCAAGCATGATCTCTTCAAGTTCTTTGACATTTTGGAAAGCTTGAAACATTGTATACAACCTTCATGTTTACCACTTTGGCTAAATCAACTCGGAGCTTGGTGAAAATTGCCAAGAAGTTGGGACAAAAAATCTGCCTAACTTGATGAAAATTTCACTAAGTGTTTTTGATAAAAAAGTCATGACTTCATGAGCCTATATCTCCAAATCTGAGCATTTTTTGGACATCAACCCTAAGGGACAAAGTTGTAGAGTTAATCAAGATTTACAACTTTCATGTTGAAAGTTTTCCTTCAATCATCTCGCATCTTGGTGAAAAATTATCATGAAGTAGTGAAATTATCAAGGTAAAAAACACTTAGAATTTTTCTAAGTATGGAAACTTTGACTTTTTGTGGACTTTCTTGACTTTCTTGATTCTTTATGACCAAGTTTGACATTTTTAAATGTCTTAATGAATCTTGATCTTTGAAATTCAATGTTGACCAAAAAGTCAAAGTTTGACTTTTTATGTATTAGTTGACTTTTCATCAGTTGATCCAAATTTCAACTATCAATCATTTGATCTTGAGAAATGATTTGAGCCATGAGATTAGGTCAACATGTTTTATTTGAGTTCTTGAGATCATGCTCCAAGTCATTAGGTCATGTACTAGGTCAAAAGTCAATGATCAGTCATTCTCAATCAAAACCCTAATTTTGACAATTTTGTCCTTTGATGATTTAAATGCTTTTCTTGAGGAATTGTGATTAACACTGGATCAATTGATGAATATGAATTCAAAATGTTGATATTGGCCAAAAATCATGAAGTTTGACTGTACTTTGACCATAGTTGACTTTTTATCCAATAAAGCTGATTTTCAGTCATCTGAGCAATTGACTGAGCAAATTTATGGTGCAAGACTTGAAACTTGGCATGAGAAATCTTGGAGACCTATAATGAACCATGAAAGTCATTTGAGGCATAAAAAGTCCAATTGTCCTTGAGAAAATCAAAACCCTAATTTGGATCCAATGCTTAGGAGGTGGGCTTGTCTGATCAACTCTTGAGAACCCTTGAGCATTTGAGATCTTTTGTGAGAAATGTCTTGAGAAAAGAGAGGGAAAATTTTGGGATACAACAATACCCAAACAATATTTTCATCTCAATTCACCTGTTTATTTGCATGTTGATAAACAACAAAGTTCTTTGCAACATCTCCATCTTTAGTGTCTTTATTCAACTGTTGTTACACAACTCAAGGAAAATTAAATAAATAAGTCAATATCATTTCGAGTTCGAAACTGATAGATACTTAGAATACCCCTGCTGCATTAGTATAAATCAATAATCAAATGGACATGGAAGTAACAAAATTACAAAGATAAATGAAAGAAAATAAACAGTTAATATGCATAGCAGATCAGGAATTTCCCTTAAAACCATTTTCTCATATCAGGTTTGCATTAGAACAGTCTCTGATTCTGATTTCAATGAACTGAAGTTATGTAATATGGTCATTATGTGGTAAAATAACAACTTTAATAGTAATATAAATGTGAATTTGAGAGGAAGAAATAGTCAACGAATGTCGAGTACCATATATAATGAAATTGGTAAGATTCAGATTGAAAATCAAATGGAAAACCGAAAAGTAACTGCAAAGTTGAATGCTTTAGGTTAAACAAAAAGAACCCAATACAAAAAAAAGTCAAGGATTGAAACAAAAATAGTGAAACTAGGGACAATATTGAAATTGAAACTAAAAGAAGAAAAATCAGAGATTAGAACAACACATAAATCAGAAAACGAAACGGAAAAATTGAAAACAACGAAAAAAAAATTAAGGATTAAAATTTATCAATTTTATCTCTATAAATAGAAAGAGCAATAAATCATACCTAAACAAAACATAAACATTAGGAATAGAAAATCTGAATGTGATAGTATATGCAAAAAGCTTAATGGTGTGATAACAAAAGAGATGAGACTTTTGAAGAGATGTGTGATATTTGAAATCGATGCTTATATTTGTTGCAAAATCAATCGATACATTACTTATGAGCACATGATATGAAACGGTTTATATTGAAAACAAAATATACAATAAATAGCCGTACAAAAAAATTATTAGTAAGGTTAACATTTTTAATACCTAATTTACCCAAAAAAATAAAAAATAATTGACCCATAAAAAATAGATTTTATTGTATTAACCGGAACATCTTACTTTCTTTTATATAATAGATATTTTCATATCAAGACAATCCCTTGAATCAAAGAGGATGAACGCATTTTTTAAACTGTTTTTCCAATAAAAAAACATTTTAGTTTTTACTGTTAATTGAATGAATGAACGAAACTAACAATGACTCGATTTGAATCGTAACACCAACTCTGAACGTAGCGCGTGGAATTCGACGAAACCTTGAAAGACGAAAATATTTCGTTCCAGAAAACAGGCTCTTGCTTCTTCCGTGCTTCCATCATCTCTCCACGCCAAGAATATACGTACCGCATACTTCAATTTCCTATTCCTTCCATCTTCGATTCTTCAATTCCGCTCTAAGATCCACACAAAATTCTACCCTAGGTACCATTTCTTTCCCTCTTTTTCTTCACGGTTTTTTTATTTTTTTTTCTGTTGTTGATGATGGTTAAATTTCAGCTAGAATTCAAAAAGCTATTGTTTATTTGTTTCATGATACCGTTATTCACCGATTTTATAATACATAATAAATTATGGTTAATTCACACCGCGACAGATACAATCAGTGTCGCAATACCTGGACAGACCGAAATTTTGAATATAATTTGAACAAAATAAAATGCGATGACCAATCCACAATTGATGATAATGCGATGATCAGTTTTTGTTCAAGATAAGATGATTAGAGGAATTGATTCATTGCTGTTTGAGCTTTCATGCAGTGTTTGGAAAAAGCAAGTGCTGATGCAAATTGTGTAGTTGATTTGTTGGGTGAGTGGTGATATACTGACACCTTGGCTAATTGGGAAGCTGTAGTGATGGATCTCGACAGAGGGAGTTCATCATCAAACATCAGCACGAGTGCACGGGCAAATCCAGAACGCCCTGTACGACATGGTGGTGGGTTTTACTTTCATTTTAGGAAGGTTTTCAACTATTTCTGTTGGTATAGGATGCAAAAATGTTTGGGGGTTCTGCATAAAAAGTATTTCCAATAGATGATTTTGTTGTATATTGATGTGGTGCAATTGCATTATTAATAAATAAATCACTTGTTTTTCTTTTCTTCCCTTTATGATATGTAGTAGAAAGAGAGAGAACTTAACAGGACACTATATTGAGATGTCTCTCTTACATGAATTGGACGCTACATAATGATTAATTTTTACTTGCCTCCACTTGAAGTCTTGAACCAAAATACAAGATTGATATTGTATATTATTTTACAACTATTATCAATTTTTGGAAGATATATATGGTTTTCATCAGTTTCAAAAATGATCAGAGAATTTTAGTTATATGTTTTTCCATAGTTTTGAATATTTGACTTAAGCTTTGAAACTTTTGCAAACATATAGTTGTAGCCTTATAAGAGATATGCTGGAATTTGCATTAGTCACTTCTAAAACTTTGTATTGCAGTAATTTATTTTTATATTTCAAAAATACTCATATTTAATGTTCTTCCACACATGTTGCAACCTAACTTCAGATTCTAATATATGAAGAATTACACAATCATTTTGTAAATTCTTGCATTTTCAAGCATTTTATACATTCTTCTTCTCATTTTGACAATAGACTGTGTTGGAAAGGAATAAAAATTATTAGAAACTAAGTCAGAGTTATCCATTAAGTTGTAATTGATGCCATTTGTGATGGTCTTGCAGCACTCTATCAGTTTACACAGCAGAACCTTCCAGCATGTAAACCTGTCCTTACACCTGCAGCAGTTAGTTCTTTTACAATACTTGGATATTTTGTGGTGCCTTTGTAAAAAATGTGCATTCTAATTCTCAATCATGTTCTTTGCAGGTCATTTCTACATTTCTGTTGATGGGTTTAATTTTTATTCCTGTTGGAATCATTACACTTCGTGCGTCATATAGTGTATATATCATTTCTTACATTAATACTATGCAGTTTCTTTATCTTTTTCCTTTCAAATCATTATCCATATGCTTATTGTGATATTTGTTTGACCAATGGACATCTAGGTTGTTGAAATTGTGGACAGATATGACAATGATTGTGTACCCGAAGAATATAGAGGTAACAAGGTAGCCTATGTAAAAGACAACTCAATCCCTAAAAACTGTTCGCGATTCTTGAAGGTAACAATTCATTTTTCACATCGTTCATGGATTATTGCTTCAGGTTTTAGTCATGTGCAAATAGTGCTATATAATAAATTGGTGGGGCGGCTGTGTTCCTTATGTATTTCAATAGTGATTGACTCCTCCGTACAATCTTTAGAAACTGCCACACGATTTGCAAACCTCTCTTACTGTTTCTGTGGCTATGCTGCCTATTATGATTAGTTTTAACTGAAATCTTAATTGGAAAATAAATTTAGAAGAAATAGACAGTGATTTTGCTCTCACGGCTACTTTGAAACTACTCTAAATTTTGCCTTCTTCCCTCTAGATAGAGACATGTAATATTTATATTCCTGACCATCTATTTCCTCTTTTTCAAAAGTATTTGTCAGTGTTTCTCAATTATTTTTGTAGTTGTTTATGTATTGGCATGCATTTTTGGTAAAACCAGGTGTATGAATGTCATGACTGATGTCATAACATTCTAGTTTATTAGGTACCTTTGCAGAAAAATATTGTCATACAGGTACTGATGTTTATGAGTGTGTATCTGAGCATTTTGCAAAATGATCACATTTACCAAAATCAGTAAACAGGAATTCAGATGTCATAACAAATGTTAAGACATCCTGTTCTGAACAAACAGGTATGCAGTTTGGTTAATTCTGAGTTTTTTCAGGAAAATGACTCAGTCTTTCCAGAACAGAATCCTGCGTTTTCTTTGGGTTAACCTAGCTCAACCCCAACCTGGTTGATATAGTTCTGTGACCTAGTCTTAAGGGCAAACGGAATTAACCCTAGCTTTTTGTGGAAACCCTAACTGAAGATGCAGCTGCTATATATTCAACATGGCTGCTGTTTTGAATGTATCCCTTTTTGACAGAAGATCTTTTAGAAGCTGTATAGTTTTAACTATTGTAATCCAAGCAATTATCATTGTGATAAGTGACTTGGAATAGGTTTTAATTGTAAGGGTTGTGTATCACTCAAAGCTTTGAAGCAAGAGTGTTTGTATGTCTCTTGACTAAAGCTGTGAAGCAAAGTCAAGTTAGGTTTGTGTATCACTCAAAGCTGTGAAGCAAGAGTGTTTGTGTTGCTTGATTAAAAAGCTGTGAAGCATAATCAAGTGTATGTTTTGAAGAGTGTCTTCATCAATTCATTAGTCAAATTGTTTTATGTATCACTGCTGTGATTGAGGGGGAGTGAGTAGGAACTCAGGTTTAAGTTGTACTTAGATTGAAGTTGCATTGGGTAGGTCTTAAGTGAAGGAGATAAACTGGTTGGTTTATTCCTGAATTAATATCTCTTATAGTGGATTTCCTCCCTGGCTTGGTAGCCCCCAGAGTAGGTGTTGTTGCACATTGAACTGGGTAAACAATTGACTGTGTTCTTTACTGTTTTTGTATTTACTGTCTTATAGAAAGTCAGATACGGTGTCATAACATTGAACGTGACATTGAGTATCTGCAGCCAGAATTTCAATTGGCATCAGAGCAGGCACCCTGCCTGTATTACTGGGTGAGATCTAGGGATATCACTTTCTGGCACTATGGACAAAGAAGGAGTTTTTGGAAATAGACCACCCATTCTGGATGGAACTAATTATGACTACTGCAAACCTCGTATGATTGCCTTCTTAAAATCTCTGGACAAAAAGGCTTGGAGAGCTGCTGACAAAGGATGGATCCATCCCACCATAACTGAGAAAGATGGGACAATCAGTTTGAAGCCTGAGGAAGATTGGAGTAAAGAAGAAGATGAGTTAGCCCTGGGAAATTCCAAAGCTTTAAATGCCTTGTTCAATGGAATTGATAGAAACATTTTCAGACTAGTACATCAATATGAATTGGCCAAGGAAGTTTGGGACACTCTCAAAACTACTCATGAGGGCACTTCCAAAGTGAAAATGTCAAGGCTTCAGATGTTGACTACCAAGTTTGAGAATCTAAAAATGATGGAAGATGAAACCATTCATGAGTTTCACATGAACATCTTGGAGATTGCCAACACCTCAGGAGCACTGGGAGAAAAGATGTCAGAAGAAAAATTGGTGAGAAAGATTCTCAGATCCTTACCTAAAAGATTTGCTATGAAGGTAACTGCCATAGAGGAAGCCCAGGACATCAGCAAGTTGAAAGTGGATGAACTAATTGGGTCTCTTCAGACTTTTGAGATGGGGATCACTGAAAATGGTGACAAGAAGAACAAGAGCATAGCACTTGTATCCAACACTGATGTTGAAAACAAGGAGGATGAAGAAGAAAATATTTCAGAAGCTATAGCCATGCTTGGAAGACAGTTCAACAAACTCATCAAAAGAATAGATCCAAAGTCAAGGTCTAATGTTCATAACATTCCCTCTGACATTGACAGTTCCAGCAGAAGACCAAGGTCAGAAGAGAAGGGAAATCAAGGCAGAGGCATTCAATGTCATGGCTGTGAAGGATATGGGCATATTCGAGCTGAATGTCCTACCTTTCTTAAGAAACAAAAGAAAGGAATGACTGTTACTTGGTCTGACTGTGATTCAGAAAGTAATTCTGAAGAAGAATCTGCCAAACTAGTTACTGCTCTAATTGGTGTTTGTACCTCTGAAAGTGACACCAGTGATGAAGAAGTGACATTTGAAGAACTGGCTGATACCTACAAGAAATTGTGTATCAGAAGTGCTGAAGTCTGTGTGCAGAATGAGAAACAATCAAAACTCATCATAAAGCTGGAGGCTGAAAAAATGGCAGATCTTGAAACTATAAGTCATCTAGAAGGGGAAGTTCAATTGCTGAACTCACAACTGATCCAAATGACCAAATCTGTCAAGATGCTGACTAATGGAACAGACAAATTGGAAGAGATTCTTCAAGTTGGACAAAATGTGGGAAACAAATCTGGACTAGGATTTGTGGAAGCCAAGAAATCTAGTACAGACAAGAAGATCAGGCCTGTTAAACAAATGTCAAAGCAGATGTCTCAACACAACTCTCAACATCAGGAACAGAGACATATGAAGAAAAGGTACCAAAGATGGAGATGTCATCATTAAACAAATGTCAAAGCAGATGTCTCAACACAACTCTCAACATCAGGAACAGAGACATATGAAGAAAAGGTACCAAAGATGGAGATGTCATCATTGTGGGAGATATGGCCACATAAAGCCTTTCTGCTTCAGATTGCATGGATACCCTAATCAGAACTCAGGTGTCAAACCTAAGTCTAAAAAGGTACCACATGCTCCTAAATGGAAGAAAAAGGCTACTGCCCTGATAGCCCACACTTCCCTGAGGGTCTCTGCAAAGGAAGACTGGTACTTTGACAGTGGGTGTTCCAGACACATGACTGAAATCAAGAACCTCCTCAATAATGTTAAACCTCACACCACCAGTTTTGTGACCTTTGGAGATGGTGCTAAAGGTGAAATCAAAGGAGTTGGTAATTTGGACTGCCCTGGAGTTCCAAGTCTGAATGAAGTACTGCTGGTAAAAGGGCTGACTGCTAATCTCATTAGTATCAGTCAATTGTGTGATCTAGGATTCAAGGTCATCTTCTCAAAATCTGAATGTCTAGTAATTAATGAAAAACTAGAAGTGGTAATGAAAGGAATCAGATCTAAAGATAACTGTTACTTGTGGCAGCCTGAGAACACTAATATCTCCACTATGTGTTCCATTACCAAAGAAGAAAAAGAGATGAAACTGTGGCACCATAAGCTTGGCCATCTTCATCTAAGAAGAATGAAAAGAACTATCTCTATGGAAGCAGTCAGAAGGATTCCAAGACTGCAAATTGATAAAAGGAGGGTTTGTGGTGAACTTCAAATTGAAAGGCTTGGTAAAAAGAGACATGTCTATGATGTGGTGAATAAACTTGAAGAAGGATGTGTTGTCAGAACCAGAAGTAATCATGACAAGGATTTTGGAAACAACAAGTCTAATAAACTCTGTTTCCCAGAAGAAATGAGTCGTGAAGTCTCTTCTCCTATAACTCACCATCAAAATGGAGTTGACAAAAAGAAAAATAAGATCATTCAAGAATCAACCAGAACTATGATTCATGTCAAAAGAATGCCTTCCCAACTCTGTGCTGAAATGGTTGCAGCTAGTAGTAACTGTTCTCAAAATATCTGGACAAAACAGATGCTCACTGAGTATAATGTCTCACAAGATGTTGTGACATTGTATTGTGACAATCTGAATACAATCAATATTTCCATGAACCCTATTCAGCATAGCAGGACCAAGCACATTGACTTTGTAGAGAAGAAGTCAATTAAACTGGAACGTGGTATCATTAAGCTTCAGCTGGCTGATTCTTCTACCAAGGCTCTTGTTGGAAATAAACTTGAAAACTTGAGGGGCAGGTTGGGTATTTGCCAACATGAGAAATTATAGCAATTAATTTTGCTTAAAACAAGGGTTGAAGGAGTTAATTTTGTTAAGTCTATTTTTAGTGGGTTAATCATATGTTTTCCCAATTCTTTCAAAATCTTTAAGAAGTTGAAAAGACTCTCTTTTGCCTCCTACCTCTCTCGACTTTGCAACCTGTTCCCTTCTCTCAATCAAAGTTTTTTCTCAAATTGCTACTGGTGCTCTAAGTCAATCAAAATGTCTCAAACATCATCTTCAACCAAGGCGACCTCTTCATCTTCATCATCTGACCAAGACTCTCGAGCAATCACCACATGCATAGAATCTGAAGTTCTTGAGATCACTCCTCTCAGAGAGATGGCAACTGACCCCGCCAAAGTCAAAAAGCTGAGAATTAGACATGCAGGAAGAGCTCAAGCTGCTGCCTCTGGTAATCCTTCTCATCCTTCCTCTTCTGTACCAAATAGAGAAGGATCAGTTCAAGTTCATCAAGCTATTGCCAGGCTTGTTACTAGTATACTAAGCGGAAACCAACCTGTACCGGGGATTTCTGTCCCCTTAAATCAATCAGGAAGCCCAAATGTGGATGTCTCTAAGAATGTAGATGTCTCTGAGAATGTTATGACACAAAATGACAACATTCAGAACCCTTCAGAAAAGACTGCTGATCCACCTATCATTGATGTGGATGAGGAATACTCAGACAATGATCTGATTGCCAATGTAAACCCTAGCATAGCTAGGAGAATGATGAAAAGAAAGGGTAATCAGAATGATGCAAAATGTATGTCCAAAGATAAACCTGCTGTTAAGAAATCCAAGATGAAGGCAAGGCTGGGGTAGAATCTGTGAAAACTGGTCAGTCCAAAGGGAAGGTGAAAGCGCAGGTGTATACTGGTAGACAACCAATTACAAAGAAGAGAAAAGAACCTGAATCGAGATTGATGCTGAAGAAATTCCTATCAGAAGGAAACTGCCCTCCTGAAGTCCCAACAGACAACATCTCTTTCCACCATCCTGACAATGCAAACAGATGGAAGTATGTTTGCTTGAAGAGAATAGCTTTAGAAAGAGAACTCAACAATGATGCCATGGAGTGCAAGGACATCATGGACCTGATCAAGAATGCTGGACTGATGAAGACAGTGATAAAATTTATCAAGTGTTATGAAAATCTGGTCAAGGAGTTCATAGTTAACTTGTCTAATGATTGTGCTGATGGAAGGTCAGCTGACTTTGAAAGTGTTTTTGTTAGAGGAAGAAGGGTTAATTTCTCTCCATCAGAAATTAACAAATTTCTTGGAAGATCAAATGAGGATTGTCCTGATCTGGAAGTCACTGACAATGAAGTTTGTCAAACCATCACAGCAAGGCAAGTGAAGTGCTGGCCCTTGAAAGGCAAGCTGAATGCCAGCAAACTTAGCATGAAATTTGCCATCCTGCACAAAATTGGTGCAGCCAACTGGGTCCCTACAAACCATAAATCAACTATCTCCACAGGATTGGGGAGATGAGATTTATTTATGCTGTGGGAACCAAGACTGCTTTTGACTATGGCAGGTATATTTTTGAACAAACTTTAAAACATGCGGGTAGTTATGCTGTCAAAGGACCAATTGCCTTTCCCTCCCTCCTTTGTGGAATTATCCTTGCACAATACCCTGATATCCTGGTGGCAAGAGATACTGCTTGCAAAAGAGCTCCTGCCCTTGGGTTGCACTACAAACTGTTTCAGGGATCTCATGCTCCTGATATTGTCATAACATCAGCTGAGACATCGTCTGTGAAGACCCAGTCCAAAACATCTGATGTTATTGCTGTATTAAAAGAGACCTGCAAAGAACTGGAAGCTAGGAAAAAGACCCTAGAAAACCTAATTGCCAGGTTAGAAAAGGAGGAAGCTGAAGGAAACAGAAGGGAAAAGGGTGTAGAAGCTGAAGGTCATATCAATACTGAAGAAACTAGCTCCTCTGAGTCTGATGACAGTGCTTAAAGGTTGGTGGAATTGCTGATTGGTGGAGTTGATGCTGGTCCCTGGTAGAGTTTGGAAGTGTGTTCAGTTTTTAGTTCTGCTCTCATTACTTTTTCTGGATGACTGTATAAATTTTAAGAACATGTATCTTTGACCCATTTGTGGCTAAAGAGGGGGAGATATATTTTGGTACTTTATTAGACATTCTATTTTTCTGCAGTCATATTTATTCTGCTGCTATCTATCTCTGATTGCTTAGGGGATTTAGCCAAAAATCTGCCAAAGGGGGAGTTTGTAGTTGTTTATGTATTGGCATGCATTTTTGGTAAAACCAGGTGTATGAATGTCATGACTGATGTCATAACATTCTAGTTTATTAGGTACAGATTTATTAGGTACCTTTGCAGAAAAATATTGTCATACAGGTACTGATGTTTATGAGTGTGTATCTGAGCATTTTGCAAAATGATCACATTTACCAAAATCAGTAAACAGGAATTCAGATGTCATAACAAATGTTAAGACATCCTGTTCTGAACAAACAGGTATGCAGTTTGGTTAATTCTGAGTTTTTTCAGGAAAATGACTCAGTCTTTCCAGAACAGAATCCTGCGTTTTCTTTGGGTTAACCTAGCTCAACCCCAACCTGGTTGATATAGTCCTGTGACCTAGTCTTAAGGGCAAACGGAATTAACCCTAGCTTTTTGTGGAAACCCTAACTGAAGATGCAGCTGCTATATATTCAACAGGGCTGCTGTTTTGAATGTATCCCTTTTTGACAGAAGATCTTTTAGAAGCTGTATAGTTTTAACTATTGTAATCCAAGCAATTATCATTGTGATAAGTGACTTGGAATAGGTTTTAATTGTAAGGGTTGTGTATCACTCAAAGCTTTGAAGCAAGAGTGTTTGTATGTCTCTTGACTAAAGCTGTGAAGCAAAGTCAAGTTAGGTTTGTGTATCACTCAAAGCTGTAAAGCAAGAGTGTTTGTGTTGCTTGATTAAAAAGCTGTGAAGCATAATCAAGTGTATGTTTTGAAGAGTGTCTTCATCAATTCATTAGTCAAATTGTTTTATGTATCACTGCTGTGATTGAGGGGGAGTGAGTAGGAACTCAGGTTTAAGTTGTACTTAGATTGAAGTTGCATTGGGTAGGTCTTAAGTGAAGGAGATAAACTGGTTGGTTTATTCCTGAATTAATATCTCTTGGATTTCCTCCCTGGCTTGGTAGCCCCCAGAGTAGGTGTTGTTGCACACTGAACTGGGTAAACAATTGACTGTGTTCTTTACTGTTTTTGTATTTACTGTCTTATAGAAAGTCAGATACGGTGTCATAACATTGAACGTGACATTGAGTATCTGCAGCCAAAATTTCAATTTTACTTGAGAAAAAATATCATAGGAATTTCTCAGTAACACATTGATCAAGAACATCTATTTAAACGCATGATAGGTGCAATTTTCAATATTAGAAATTTACCTAGCATTAACTCCTAACTTAAGGTACAAATAGTCTAAGAATGCTATGAACCTGATGATACAATGAATTTCAATTATACTTGGAAAGTGAAACATTAGTTATATTCTATTTCCAACAAATCCCTCAAGCTGGAACTTAGATTATATAGGACCCATGTGAATTTTAATCAATAAAAGAGTGTGTTGAAAAATATGTGTTAATGAGTGTGTTGCCAGCGCTTCTTTTTATTTTATTATATTTACTTTTTAAGTTAGGACTTTTATCACTTGATTTTCCTCTATAATTTAATTCTAAAATAAATTTTTTGGCTGGGTACTTAACCACAGATATCTTTTCTGAAATTAATATTTATGAAGTTGATCTTATTAGTGCTTCTTGGCTGTGTTTAAAAGATACAACTTGTCTGTAGGTACCTAAGTCAATGAGAGCGCCAATTTATGTCTACTATCAACTTGATAACTATTACCAGAACCATCGAAGGTAAGGATTTTTATTTCCGTTTCAAATATACAATGTTGAAGTCTTTTAACAGAAATTGACAGGAAAATATGTATTATTCTGATGAAGCAATGCTATTTTCAAGTTATCTTTTTGTTTTGTCACTTGCATTTACTTCCTTTGTTTTGTTTGTTTATGGTAGATGTACAAGTTATTGTGTTAGACTATTATCGTTATTTTGTTAAATCAGTTTGTAATCTTAGATTATCTCCTAGAATTATTTTCTATATTATTTAAGTATTATAATGATTTGTTTCCTTATCTTCATGTTTATTTAGGATTAGAAGACTTGTATCCCTATAAATAGGGGTTAATGGTTAGTCTTTTTTTTAACAGTATATCAAGTTATTATCAATAGTATTCGACGTTCTTTAATCCTAATTTGATTCTTCGATTCTAACACTTCTACAAGTAGGTTCAATAAAAAGCTTAATGCATATCTTCTTATGAGGCTAGTTGGTTTTCTTGCTTTTATACAATCTTACTGCTGGTAGGTTGTATTCGGACTTACTGACATTTCTCATAAGCATTATGTGTATATTTCCCTCAAGTTTGAATTTCTAGAAATCTATCTCCTTTAATTATTTACCATTGTTTAAGATGAGCCACAGATCACCCACCAGTTGCCGAATTTCGAAAATTGTTGCTAGCATGTTATATTATTGTCTTTGAATTTAATATCACGTACTGTATCGAAAAGCATTTATGGTCTTGTCAAGATTTATAAATTTGTTTATCTTAATTTGTCCATACTTTTCACTCAAAACTATAAACCCTCCTGGATTTGCTTTCATCTTAACGCATTTACTTATCTTGCTCAATCAAAATATTTGCAATTTGTTCAGGTATGTCAAAAGTAGAAGTGATCGGCAGCTCTTAGACGGACTTGGATACAATGATACCAGTTCGTGTAGACCTTTAGAGTCTTCTAATGATCTTCCCATTGTACCTTGTGGGTTGATAGCATGGAGTTTATTCAATGATACTTATAAGTTCAGTCGTGGACCATCAGAATTGAAGGTTAATAGGAAAGGCATTGCATGGAAGAGTGATCGCAATCACAAATTTGGAAAGCATGTTTACCCGTTAAATTTTCAGAATGGTACCTTGACTGGAGGTGCAAAGCTGGATCCTAGTATTCCAGTAAGTTCTGAGCTTTTGAATCGTATTTTGACTTTTGTCATCCTTTCTTCTTGTGTGACAACTTGTTTTGATTTAAAACATTGTCGTTTACCTTTCCTCAACACCTTTGAGAACTTGTTACTGATTTTTTTCAATAAACTTTCTTCTGGGCTGATTCTAATGAGTGTTCTATTATGTTATTTTATTTCCCCCTGTTGGCCATTCTGATTTCTGTATTTCAGCTTAGTGATCAAGAAGACCTCATAGTTTGGATGCGGACTGCTGCTCTCCCCACATTCCGAAAGTTGTACGGTAAAATAGAAGAGGATTTGGAGGAAGATGATGTTATAACAGTCAACCTAAAGAATAACTATAACACTTACAGTTTTGGAGGAAAAAAGAAGCTTGTTCTTTCAACATCAAGCTGGCTGGGTGGAAAAAATGACTTCCTTGGATTTGCCAATTTATTTGTCGGGTCCTTTAGTATATTGATCTCCATTATCTTCCTGTTGCTTCATGTGAAAAGTCCTAGGTAATATAATAGTATCCATAATTGACTATTTGTTTTTCATTTTTGTGCATCTGAGACCTGATTCTCCCAAACAATTGTTGAGTTTGAATTATATTTACCCGTGCTTCCTTTTTGAGGCAGACCTTATGGCGACACAGCCTACCCGTCTTGGAATAAGAAAAGCATTACTAAAAGCATTTCTAGCTGATAAGGTACGCGGTCCACATGTAATTCTTTCAAAGTGAAAACTCTAGATACATATTCTTGCAACAAAAGCTATTGTATTTGATTGTCGGTTCACGGTACATAGTGTTTTCATAGTGAAACTCCCATACACGTTCTTGTTAGAAAAACTATTGCATTTAATTGTAAATGGCAAAGCTGAGTATAATTTGAGTTAGCTGTTTCATTAAACAATCTTGCAGAATTTATGAATATAAACTAAAAACTACTGATGTTATTCTTTTCATGTTCTGTAAACAGCACTTTCTCAAAAAAAGCTCTATCTTTAATTCTTAATGAAAAGGCAGAGTAATCATCTTTAATTATGATGTAAATTGGCCTACGAGTGAGATAGTAATGATGAGAAACATGGTAGGAGAATATAAAATCTAGGCCAAATAGCCTTTTTTGGTTCTGTATCTCTAGGGCGCGATTCATTTTGGTCCTTCAATTTTAAAAACGGTCATTTTGGTCCTTCTACTTTTTCAAAACATATCATGTTGGTCCTTTCCGTCTAAATTTCACTGTCGACGTCAATTTTTTGGTGATGTGTAATCTTTAATTTTTGTAACAAACTTAGCGACAGAAAAAATAGACGCCAAATTTTCTTTCTGGATTTTAATTTGATTCTTCATCTTGTTCCCCAAAGCTAAAAAAATTCAAAATCCACAAAATTCCTCAATTCCACTAAATTATTTATTCAGCCAATTTCATGTCATAAACAACAATTTCACACATGTCTTCAAATTCATCATCCATATGTTAGTTTCATGGAATTAGATTTGGGTTTTATTGAATGAAAAATTTGAAATCTAAGTTCACTAAAATCTGATTTCACACACGTCTTCAAATTCATCATCCATATCTTACTGCAAATCTGATTTCTCACCATAGACGAAACCTCCACCACCAAAATCAGATTTCTAGATCTATGAATTTAAGGTTATGGTATCCTGACACAAATGCTCCTCCGACAATATCTGCAGTGAAGTAGATAGAAATGTCACTAGAAGGGGTTTGAATAGTGACCCCTTTAAAATCTTGGTTTTACTTTATGAAAACAAGTTTTATCAAAATAAACTATAAATATAATCAATGATTAAAGTGTTTCTAGTGTGGGATTTGTGTGTAAATAAACAAGCTTTAAAGAAAAGAGTTTAAGAAAGAACACACAGAGATATCCTAGTTCATCAAACTTGGCTACTCCAATTCCCATGTTTTGTGAGATTATCCAATTAACGATCAATATCTTTTTGATCTTTTTCTTACACCCATATGTATTTTCTTAATCTCACCAGGCTTACAATACTGATTACAAAGCTTCAACTAGCTTACACTATCACCCAAGATCAACCTTGACTTGAGGATATACAACGTATTAAGATTGATTCGTAAGGAGGATCAAATTCACAATTCTTCAACAAATGATTATTGAGAGGATGTGATTTTAAGACAAATACTCTTAGAAATAGAGATCATTGATTCTAAGAATATGATTTTGGAAGAATATGATGAATTTTCTTTCTTGAATTCTCCTTGAAATAATGTGTTTTCTCTCTTGAACTTTCCTTGGAAAAATGATGGTATTTTAAGACAAATATTCTTAGGAAGGAAGATACTTGATTCTAAGAATATGATTTTAGTGGAAATGATGAATGATGATTTTTTGATCTTTGAAATATTCTTAAAATGAATTAGTAATTTGGAGAGAAATGAGAAGAAGTATATATAGACTTCTTGATGCTCCATGTTTCATGCTTCCAATGATGTCTCTAGTATATACTTGTAATCACAAGATTGCCATTTCTATTTACAGTTTTGCCATTGTTAGTATAAACGAGATGGGCAGATTTACAGTATTGCCATTCTTCAAAATCTGATACTCTGCCTTGTTTCTTGATGCTCCTCTATTTGATGCTTTGCTGTAAGAAAATTACAAGACTGCAATTAAGATAAAAATATGATAGTCTTTGAATGGTGCAGGATTACAATAATGTTATTTGGATTTTCTTGATACTTAATATGATGTAGAATTATAAAAATGCAATTATGTGACTTATTTTTGTCACACGATATTTTCTGCTCTTTTCAAAACATATGTTTTTCTTTTCTGAATTTTTTTTAAGCAATAACCCGATTTTACAATTAAAATACTTCAATAACAATGTTTCTAAAAAAATTATGCAGATAATCAGATTTGAAATATGGATTAAGTGGACACGCCATCTCATATGGCGCATGCATGCAAATTTTAAATGGATGTTGTTTACTGTGACATTTGGTAAACAAACGTTAGTCCTCTAAAATCTAAGATCTTTGGTTACTTGTAAGATCGACTAGATTGATCTTAGAACAATAGTGTATATTTTATGTTTTAAGTTTTATAAATGGTGATATTTTTGAAATTAAAGAATAACTTTGGAAATAACTGACAAAATGAAGAATGAAAACGACAAAGAAGTAAAAGGTTTCAACTGAAATGTAAACGACTTTATGAAATATAAATTGGTATTTAGAAATAAATATGGTGTTACGACTTTATGAAATATAAATTGGTATTTAGAAATAAATATGGTGTTTCATAAGTACATTTCTCAGAAACTCGTTTCTCGATAATACGTTGGTATTTTGAGTAAATATGAGTGATTTGTACAATATTGAACGTAGAATCTTAAAACTAAAGACTTCTATTTATATTAATTCGACACGAATAGTCTTCTCATCAGAAGATGACACGTTCTTATTTGCATGTGTTCGATCCTTCATAGGTTTTCACGTGTCTCTTTTCAAAAGAACATATACGCGCTAAATTTCAAATATCCTCGTCGAACCCGCTTCAAATCATTCTCGAAACGCCATGTTTTGATCTTTGTGTCAATTCACCATATTTAGGTCGGAGGACCAACATTTACTTATGTCGAAAACATCTTTACTATTCTTGATTTCTCTTAAAAACTTTGATATCTTTATTCTATTCTTGAGCGTCGAAACTTCAGCTAACAAATTATCCTCCAAAAATGTCTTTTTCGACTACGACGAGAAAATGGTATTTTTTGAAAGATCTCGACGCGTCAGCAATTACTGCTGTGACGTCATGGTCATGATGGCCATTGTTCAAAAATGTCTTATCGAGACGTGCATTGCAGTTAGAATCATTACTCCTACAAAATAGAAGTATGAAGGTAATTTGTATAGGTAACCGTTTATGCATCCTTTCATGGAGTTACACGTGCCCCTCTAACTCTCCATTCATCTTCTGAAAAGAAAAATGAAACGTTCTTTTCTTCTCCTTATAAATATCCTAACCTTTCATTTTCAACATTTTCCAACTTCTGCACCCTCAAACTTGTGGTTTTTCTCTTGAGTTTCTTCTTCACAATTTTTCCAAACTCTTCATCTTCCAAATTCCATTCTTCAACAATGGCGCCCAAAATCAAAGTATCCAAACAACAGAAAGAAGTTTCAACTCCCATCACTCAAATAGCAAAACCGCTGCTACTAGGAAATTATAAGTATGTTCCTGATGCCCTTCTACTTGAAGAAAAATGCAAGATTTATGAATCTCAGGTCCTCATTCCTTTAACTATCTCTAGTGAAACACATGCATATCTAGGTCCTTTTCCTGACCCTAATACGGATGCTGAAAAACTCAAAGAGTTTTTCCCTGTTTACCATCGTACCAAACCCTTGACTAGTAAACAAAAACCTGATAATAAAGGTAGTAAAAAAACCTGATACCCATAAATCCATAGATGACCAAGCGAAGTCTTCGATTGACACTTCGAACACTGAATACAAAATTAACTTCGACTATATGAGCAACACCCTTAGAATGTTTCCCTCTTGCCCTCTGATGAAAGACCTTGAACCATATCTTTCATGGCTTACTAAAGTTGAAAATAAGAAAAGCCAATTCTGGAAAGATATGGAGATTTACGACATGATTCAATTGTCAAAATTTGATCATGGGTATTGTAACGTCCCGATTTTATTTAAATTGTTTTTCATAATTTAAATATGTGGTGTTGTGCTTTTATATGTGTTGATGGTTTTTGATGCTCTTGGTGTGGGGTAGTTATCTTAGAATTATAGAGATTAAGGTGTTCGGGGCGTGTGAATATTTGTGTAGAGTTTGGGGATGGTGGGAGTAAGTAGTTACTAGCATTATTTAATTAAAATTAGAGGAGTTAAATGATATTAGTAAAGGTTAAATAATTATTTTTATATTTTAACTATTTAGTGGAATATTTTATTATTAGAAAATAATAATAATAATAATAATAATAATAATAATAATAATAATAATAATAATAATAATAATAATAATAATAATAATAATAATAATAATAATAATAATAATAATAATGTGGAATTATGGATGACTTGTTAGTAATTTTAGGTGGGTGAGTGAGGGCATAAGTGGAAGGTTAAAGAAAGGGTCTTAGGGGTAAGAATGACAAAAAGAAAATTAGAGAATAGGTTGTCAGTTGATATGATCGTAGAATTGAAGAAAAGAGAAAAGAAAAGAGAAGAGGAAGCTAAGGCTAGGAGAAGACTCCATTCGAGAAGCGAAGAGAACTCAAAAATTCAAGGTAAGGGTGGAGTTCTAACTATCTAATGGGTTTTGCAATGATCAGTGGATAAGGGTAATTACTAGTAAGAATTTAATTTCAATGCATGTGTTAAATCCTTAGTGATACAATTCTGTTTGGTGATGATGTTGTGTGAATTTATAAATTGTGAGTTTGTGTCAGTGTTTGTGATTGTGACTTAATGATGTAAATTCATGTATGTAATTTTTTATGTGATAATTTGGGATATTGTTAATGATGTGTGTAGATGAGCATTAAAATTGGTAAAATGAATTGTGCATTGTTTGAAAAATTGGGACTGTTTGGTTGAGAAAATATGTGATTTTTCGTATTTAAAAAAAAGCAGAAAAACTGAATTTTTGTCAGTGGTAACTGGTTATTAGTTTTGGGGTAACCAGTTACCAAACACAAACAGAGGCGTGAGATTTTGGGTTACAAGGGGTGTAACCGGTTACCATAATTTGGGCAACCGGTCACCAGAGCAAGTCAGTGGCACAGGATTTTGGTTATATGGTGTGATACGGTGGGAGAACTGACTTGAAGGTTTTGCGTTTTATCACAAATGTTGCGGTTAGCAAGAGTCGCCACCGACTTTTCTTTTATCCAAAAGGAAAGGTGAAAAATCACAAGAAAGACCTTTGAGATGTTTTCTTGAGTTCGGGGGGTAAATTATGAAAAGGGAAGGTATTAGCACTCTTTTCATCCATGGTTTTCCATGGGCTCTTAGTTACTTGCTAGATCACTTGCTTTTTGTTTGAAATTGTGCTTTATGTGGTTTTTGAAAGTATTTTGTAAAGAAGACCATTCGTTTAGGCAATCTTTGTAATGATTCTCGTTTGTAAGAATGTATACAAAGATGTTTGTCTTTTTGAAAATGTTTTCAATGTTTGTAAGATGTTTTGAAATGTGTGTGTTTGTTTTGAAAATAACAAGGATAGTTGTTTGAAAATAGAGCAAGTAACTAGAAGTAATCTACCTACTCAAATGTCTTTCTTATGCATTTTCTATTCCTTTGACATTGTTGTCTTACCATTGATTTGGTAAGCAACCCTATCTTTGGATGTAAACGGGACGGACGTGGGTCATTGTATAACCATGATTAGCAATGTTGCAAAGTATCTTAGCATTTTGAGAGACCAAGATCATTTTGTAAGGCAACTTAGAATAGCGTCATCGAGGGACTATGATCTTATACTTGTTTGTTTTGCCAAGATACTTCGCATGCGTAATATGGCCATTTTTGTATAAGGCAACCAAGTGGAGAAGCCCTAAGGATGCTTGTGTGCAAGTGTGTTATTTTCATGCTTTATTTTTATCTTTCATTTAGGGTTTTCTATTTGCTTTGTTTTGATCTTATCATACAAACCCTAATTACTAATCATGGCATGTAAAGCGGTAAATTGCATAATGTAAAGATTACTAAACTATTACAACAATTTTATGGGAGGGGGGAATATAAATTTAAATGGGGATTTGCAAGAATGTGAACCTAAATAAATTATTACAACCAAATCGAATTTATAGGAATATTAGAATAAATAATATAAAATATTTAAATATGCAATATTATGTACATGCAAGAAAAAGATTTTATTTTGTTTTTATGTGAAAAGAAATTTAAACCTAAAAATATAAGGAAAAGAAATTAATTCTTGAAAGAAAGGTTAACCCTAATTTCTATTTTAAAAGAAAATAAAGTTCTTATGTACTATTTTTTATGTTGAAATAATAAATAATATTGTATAAAAAATATAAAGTTTTTATATATGCAAAAATAAATATTTATAAGTATGGAATGAAAAGGAAATAAATAAATTATACTAAACATATTTTAATTATATTTTACAAGTTTATTAAGAAAATAAATAATATATATTGAAGATAAAATATATTTTCATGTGAAAAATAAACTAAAATAAAACAAAAATGCAATATTATCAAATTTATATTTTTTAGGATTTTTTATACATTAAAGAAAATATTTAATAAACTAAAATGAAAATAAAACAAATAAAATAAAAATACAAAAATAGTTGGGCAAGGGGGGTGTTCTGAATCCAGTGGTGAAAGTTAGAAAAAACAGCTAAGCCCAACGTGGAGGCCTAAACATGCAAAAAGCCCAAACTGAAAGTGGAAAAAATATGAAAAAACAAAAGG